AGCGTCACTAGCGCCCTCTATGAAATATCCAAAAAATAATTAGAACAGCGTATTTAGCGTCCTTAAAAACCCCAGAATACCAAATTTCATAAAAATATTTCGCACCGTTTGGGAATTTTTGTAAAAATTCTATTTAAAAATTTTTATTTTACTGCTCTGTATCTCGAAAACGTCATTTTTTGTAGTACTATCACCCCCTGAATTTACGGGAGGTCATTCTGAAACACCGTGTATATTCCAAGGCTATTTTTAAGTATTTTGCTCCATTTTTTTACGTATTTAATGTCCTTTAAAAGTGATCTGTAATATCTGCTTTTTTCTGAATTATTTTTAATACATTTTCCGATAATTTATTAGTATTTTTTCACAATTTTCTTATATGATCTTCAAATAAAATGAGAAAAAATGTCTAATTCCAAGGTAATCTTTGGAAACTATTCTCCATTGATGGGTTTATCAATCAGCGCGTAGGCTACCTTCACGTAGAATGATAAGTAAATAATCCTAGGGGAGAATTATTATTTATCAGGTTGTACTTTGAAATAAAAAAACAGAAGAGGATTTTTTATTTCGAGACCCTCGGGAAAAAAGTACAAAATACATTAAACCAGCCTGAGAAAGTGATATGGAGCAGGGGCCGAACAAATAATTGAACCAAGATTCTCTCTGAGCTTTCTCAAAATTATGGAAGTGTTTTAAAAATAGTTCTCATAGTAGTGAGCATTAAGAAATTTTTAACTGTACCAGTAAGTTCTAAATATTTCCAAAATTTTAACAAATATACACACAAAACGACACTAAAATTGTATTAAACTTTCATACAATGTTTGGAAATTTGAAGAAATCTACAATGTTAGCAATAATTTTCACAATGGTAAAAAGAATTACAATCGTCATTGAATTTTCACACGATTTGTGCCTGTCCTCTTTTTGTTTTTGGTAAGCGGGAAAAAAAATAAAGAAATGGCCTCCTGATACAAGAAAACAGTCTTTAAAGCATAAGCCTGCACAGGAAAAAGTTGAGAGCAAATGCAACAGTTTTTCCTCCACCGCCACTTAATTAATTAGAATATATTTTTAATTTTTATATTTTTCAACCCTGCATCTTGAACGTTTTCGAATTTTTAAATTTATTTTGGTAATATGTAAGGGCACAAACGTAATAAAACAGTCTGCAATGAAACACTGAGTGAAAGACCAGCTATATAATAAATTTTCAGTTTTTTACTTATTTTGAAATACCTACAGTTTCGATATGCATACAAAGTTTATTTATTACATTCCTAGTCTGAATTTTATCGAAAAAACAAACAAATTTTATCCCACTTGAAGTGGATAGGCAATTTCCTTAGTGACTAAAACCAATGAAATGAATAGACTTTGAATTTAGTCCATATTTTATCAAATAAGATTTCTTACTAAACGGAAACGGAACAGCATAAGCCCTTTCTCCATCACATCTCATGCAAATCCTCTTGATGCTTTGATCCACTTTATCCTGTATTCATTTTTAAATCCGATACCACTGAACCGGAAAGGCTTTCGGTAATACGAGGCAAGTCTTCGGATTGATTTTGTTGTATTTCCAAGGATTCTTGTAAATTCCACTTAAACATCACAGCGATGGCACAAAACCCCATCTTGTATGCTTGTAGGATTTATAACTTATATATAAAATAAAGTTGAAATATACAGCGTTCCCGTGTTTAAGTGAACATAAGACCGTATGACTTTTAACATCGGGACTAATCAGAAAATTTAATGCAAGCGTGTCAGTCAAAACCCCTCTTATAACATTTCATTAAAAGTATGTGCTGGTATTCAGTTGAAGGCCTTAGGTAGGAACCGACATGTAAGAAAGATATGTTTCGTTATTCCACGTAAGAATGTATTTTACTCAATAAATATTGTCAGTATAACGCAGTGATGCAAGTTCGACCCTCATAGGGTTTCAAATAAACTAGCAAAATAAATGTCTATACAGGGTATTACTGAAATACGTTCCTTGACTTTTATTAAACAACTGATGGTCTAAATGCTTCTGTTTTCGAAAAAATTAATTAAGAAAATTTACCATAAATGTAAGTCGACCCTGTGCGTCTTATGCACGTACGCTGTGTGTTGCAGTATTAGTTAGCCGGCGTATGAAATGTTTTTTGATCATGAACTGATCAAGAACTAGCAAATATGGCGTTAATGTACGGAAATAAATGCCTCATACTGAAGAAGTAGATAGCAATCTGCAAAATTTCTGCAACTACACAATAATCGCTTTAACACATTATATAGTTAACGTTTTCGAAAACTATCTGCTTTTCTCGATGTTCTCTGTAACATTTAAACGTCTCGAAGTTTCTACAGCATACTTAATGTTTACCACATTTACAAGGTATACCATAAACGCAGTCTTTAGAACTTTGTATTTCATTTTGTGGTCGAGTTTTTTATAATAATTTCCTTAAAATATTACTGGTTAGGAATTATTATTAGATAACACAGCCACACAATAAAAAATCATATATTTTTTAACAGAGTATGATAAGCCCATGCATTTTCATCCAGTCAAGACGATGGAGTCATCAGAAATGCTCCATCTCCTCAGGACTTTTCCCTAACCTCAAAAAAATAGCTCAAAATTAGTGAAAATCTCGATTTTTTTATTAAAATAGTTAAGATGCCTTATTAATGGGGTCAAAATAAAAACTTTTTATTCCTGCAATTTTTTCTCTAAAATATCTCCTTGTGGTATTACAGCCATTTTTAATCAATTTAGAACATTAAAATACATATAACTCCTCAATACCTAATACGTTTTAGAGAAATAGTGCAATATTTTTCAAAAACTCGACCGCAAAATGTGATACAAGATTCTTGTATACAGCTTTACCTTAACAATGAGGTAAGTAATAACCGAGGCAATAACTAAATAAACAAAAAAATTTTCACACGTCACACTTGACTAAAGTCAGCTAAAGTTAGCGTTTCGAAAAAATTTTCGTTTTCGTAATCAAAGCTTTCGATAAAACTGATGCTTTACAGCGAACATTTTGATAACGAAGACACAGTTTTTCGAAATATTAACTATATATATATANCTTACTTAAACATTTTTAAATTTTGATATTTCCAAGTTCCCTATTTAATATATTTTTACATTCTTCCGTTAGTGTTGTTTTAAATTCACTTTGCATAAGCAACTTGTTCTTATTGTCGAATTCGTTATAATCTAGCATATATTTCAAATAAAAAAGTGAAGATATATTAAATGGATTGTAATCCATATTTAGTACTGTCTTATCTAAGATAAGACCAACAGAGCGCATCCCTTTTTTTATGAAATTTGTATTATTTCATCATTTATTCATTATTTTGGGAGTTCTTATTAATATAATTGTTTTATTTATTTCATTTTAATTAAACGATCCTGTTTATTACTATATATTCATATTGATGGTAACGGCTGAAAGAGAAGTTTTTTTACCCTCTCTGTTACCTCTACCCTCCCTAATACTATTGACATAAGTAAAAAAAATGATGAATATACAGATATATCTGTAAATTTAAAAAATGAATAGAATTTTGAAATGTAAAATCGTATTGGAAATTAAGAGAGATGAGAAAAATTATCCTATACTTACACGAAAAAAATAATATATCTAATTTATATAGAAAATACAGAGGAAAAATCTCCATTGATTGCGAAAACGGAAAAGAAAGATGGTAATTGTTTTCACATACAGAAACATTATTTTGTGTTATTTGTTGCACAGTGGACGAAGTAAAAGCCATAGGTGTAGCAACGAACTCTTACTTTTTGAAAAATCTATCTATATTTCAAGTCTGTAAGGGATGTTAAATAAAAATAAAACATCGGGTAAAATATATTTATATAAATATTTTCACAATGTATATGACTTTATACTACAGAACTTTCATAAATGATTACAAGCCACGTGACCAGTAATTTTGTTTGGAACAGTAATTTTATTTCCTTCATGTCGGCCATTAAATTTTGGTCAAATTAAATATTAAAAGAGTAATATCAGGTTACGGTAAAACATCGTTTTGTTTCATCATAGCTGCTTGGCGTAATTTTTCACGCGATCACGGCCGTATTAACCTATAAAGGAGCCTATAAAGGCCCCTTTTTCTAAAAAAAAAAACACACAATCACTGACTTATCGGCATAAAATTTCAAAACCCCATATCCGATATAATATTTAAGTTTAACACTTTTTGATTTCATTCCCCCCCCCCCCTATTCAACCAATCAGGGATCACATTATCGCGGGCGTAGACGCAACGATTCGTCGTTGTTCATTGTAAACGAGTCATTAATATTGGTGACGCCAAGCTTTACGAAATATTCGTTACTAGTACCAATCCTGCAATGTTGGGCTGCCTAAGCTCTACGGTCACGTGGCTTGTAAACATTTATGATGGCTCTACAAATGCAAAAAATATAAATTGTATAATTGAGTACGAGTATTTTACATAATTTTTGCATGCATATTTTAGAATTTTAAAAATATAATTGCCATAAAAACTAGGGTCAGACATTGTACATACACATTTACTTCTAATAACGCAAGTACGTATGAGTCAGCAGAATATTGATCCAAAAGTTAATTGAAGATTGAACATGAATTAACGATTTTTAAATGTTGATAAACAAATTGAAGTATAAATAGAACTACATCATATGTAACTACACTGGGCAGTCCTAATTTTCTCCCGATATTTGAAGATGGGTAGTGCATCAAAAAGTAAGTGTAGTTATTTATATAGGTACATTTTTTTCGAAAGAGAGATGTGTCTTTAAAGAGGTATATTTTTTACAAAAAAGGTGCAAATCCGTCGAATTTCAAAAGTTCAGCTCACGAAAATATATGAGTCATCAGATTGGGTGCTCGTATTCAAAACCTAAAAAGTTCTAATAAACGTATATTGCACAGTCCCACCTCTTTTAAATAACTTTTGAACTATATTTTCCTTTTCAGTATATGAACCGAGCTACCGAAAAAAACCTCAATATGCGACAGGAAGACGCACTGGGTAAAACGCTGCAGGAGCAACTGGTCGCCGACTCAGTTCAGATCAACACTATGGGCTCATCCCTACTAAGAGGGAGAGAATGGAGCGGTCCCATGACACTCAAAAAGAAACCCTCGGAGACGGTGGTGTCGTCCTGCAAGGCTGTGCCATTCTCCTGTGCCGGAAGGTAATAAATAACATTTTGTCTTTTCCATGACGTGGTAACAACCCTTTAACATAAAGAAGCGCTAACCTGTTTGGGCAAGACTGAAACTGAATGACTCCATTGGGGAAGTAATTTTTAAGATTTTTTATTAACTTTAATCATTTTATGAAAAGCTCATTCCCTAGATTTTAAAAACATGTTAAAGTTAATGCTGCAAATGTAAAAATTAAAAAAAAAAGAATATCTTGAAAATCCGTCACTTTTGAGGATACGTTAAAATTATTACCCGAAACAATGAGTGAAAATCAAAGGTGGAAAGAAAAATATAGCATTCCGCTTAAAATTAAAAAATTGGTGTTGACACACCGGTATCCCAATAATATCGGCAGTATCGGAATAATTGGAAGTGTGACAAATATGCCGTTATTTTAGAAAAAAGAGCATGCCCATGCATATACACATGTATATGTGTTTATCAAAACACTGAAGACCTTCAGAAATTTCGATTTTCGATTGCTAATGCAAAAAGAGCTGCTTTGCTGCAGGATGCCGACGCACTTCATCCTGGTATTCGACACGAGTTCTATGGACCCCAACATCCTCGGTCAAAGCAGGGGCAGCGTGCACTCCATCAGGAGGGGCTCGACGGACGTCAGGAGCGTCGGCAGTGACTACCTCAGGAGGACAAGCTTGGCCAAGCTAAACTCACTGCCGCTGGAAGCGCCAATAACCAAAGTAAGTCATTTAGATGTTAATACCACTTTGAACATATAGTCCCCAGACGATATCTGTTTCAAAAAGTCCATATTTGGGTGAATCCACGGAGATTTTTGGCTTTTTGGCTTTCAAATATCACTAGAAATGAAAATTTTTCTATGCGCATAAAAAAAACATGGGCTTAACTAATATGTTAAAAAAAATCGAAAAATGTCATATTTTCTTCCTGTTTAATGTATCTTTTCAAGAGTTGATTTTAGGCGAAAATGGAAAAGGAAAAAAATGTTTGTAAGTAAATTTTTTCAAAATATGACAAATACAAATCGAATGAATCATGATTATTATTGTAAAAATCGAAAAAATCGCCAAAAATGTGGTTAAAAAACATTACTTTTTAGAATTGTTTTGGGGTCTTTAAATTGGGTATAGGACCTTCATACTTGACTCAAGAAAACTTCATGTTATGTAGAATCATCATACCAAATTTCATCAAAATCCGTTGGACAGATTTTGCATAATAATTTTGCAATCCAGATTTTGAAAAAAAATTTGCAAATTTTTGAAATGTATGTTTTTAACCACATTTTTGGCGATTTTTTCGATTTTTACAGTAATAATCATAATTCATTCGATTTGTAACTAGTCATATTTTGAAAAAAATTAATTACGAACATTTTTTCCTCTTCCATTTTCACCTAAAATAAACTCTTGAGAAGATACATAATTAAATAGGTAGAAAAATATGACAATTTTCGAATTTTTTTAACATATTTTGCCGCCAAAAGTTAAGCCCACGTTTTTTTTATGCGCATAGAAAAATTTTCATTTCTAGTGATATTTGAAAGCCAAAAAGCCAAAAATCTCCGTGGATATACG